GATGGATGGATGGATGGATGGATGGATGGATGGATGGATGGATGGATGGGTTCAGGGCATATCAGACAAAGTGGGTGAAAAAGGGTTCACATACAAAAGAAGTTCAAATAGAACAATAGACCACCCCTTTGTTTAAACGGTAGAAGATCTGACAAGACTTAGAGCTGTTAATTCAAGTAGTCTAGATGATTTAGGTGTTAGAGAGAGTGTAGCTGGTTTAACTAAAGCTTTGAATCAATTTGACTCTGATTGATGATCTGGTTGAACTATAAAGTGCTTTGAGATGACATGTGTTGTGAATTGGCGCTATAGAAATAAACTGAATTGAATTGAATTGAATTAAGATTTAAAAAAAAAATGATCTAAATGCAGCTGTTTGTTACTGCCGCATCAGGGAACCCATACACTGGGATATGCGATATTTAGTTTTAAGCCTTCAAAACAACTTTTAATTGAATTTACTTCCATTTCTACATTTAAGTGAATGAGTTACAATTTAAACTACACATTTTAAACACCAAAACATTAATATGTAGACTTGTAGAATTGGAGTTTAAACAAACATTTCTATGTCGATCACTTTGTGTGTATAAACAATATTTTAAGAAAGCAAAATTAAACAGGTTAAACTGTGTTGTAAAGAGATTTGGTTGCACCTAAGAAAAAAAAAAAAGCTATTTGAACAAGTGCAACCAGAGCAAAGCATCATTTCAGAGCCATTAAACAGGTTTGACAAATTAACAACAAACCCAGGTTTCAGTGACATTCACTACATGTTGAATAGCAGTGGTGGGCAAAGATCGGTTAATTAGCTAAAAGGGGAACTAATGTTTTGTTTGTTGTTTTCATGAATTTGAAAAACCAGGGGTTTGTTTAACAAAGCAGGTTCAACAAACTCAGTTTTAAATTCTAAACTCTACATTGATCTACAGTAGCTTAAGGTTGGAAACTCTGAGTTTTGAATAAGGCTGCTGTGAGTTAGTTCAGTCAACTCTAAGTAGGTCCTCGCAGAGTTGAGCACGTGCAACAAGTATGAAAATTATCAGTGTAGCCGCGATTCGATGAGTCACCATGACAAAAAGCAACAAGAAGTGACTAGAGATTTTAATGCCGAAATAAAATAACAACTTGGACAAACTGTTTAAAAGACAGAGCAACAGCGCTACAGCAGCAAAGATGAGGGAGATGGTAAGGGAGAAGATTGTCGCTCGAGATAATGCATAGGTTTAGATGAGTGCCCAAAGACAGGCCTTTTTTAATACGTAACATATTTTCTAAAAAATATTTTCCCAGCAGAAACTGGATGTCAGAAAGTTAAAAAAATGAAGTTGTACTAGTAAGAATTAAGTTTTATATATCTAGAAATGTCGATTAAGCATTTTAAGTGGCCATTTTGAATTTTTATTTGATCAACTTGAACGTGTAATGCCTGAATGAGAAAGAAAAATGTTAGATAGATCCTAATGTTGTGTGCGTTTAAGAAATGTATGAGCTTTATGAGTTTATGAGTGCTGGTGTTTTTTGGTTGCCTGGTTAAACAATGTGAGGAGCCCCTCTGTGGAATCTTGGAAGTCCACCTTACCATATGTTTGAGTTTCTTCAGGTTTTACAAGATAAAATGCAAGAAAACAAAATAACATTTTAAAAGCATGAAAGTAAAAAATAGATGTGAAAGCATGGTAGAAACCATTTCTGGTTTATATAAACAATACCAATCAAATTAGAAATAGAGGTTAACTGAAAATTAATGATGCATACATATTAAGAAGATATTAATTTCATCATTTAAAAAAATATAGAAAACAGACACATTTTCAAAATTGCAGAATATAGAGAGTAAAGCACACATTGTTCAACATAGACAATGAGGCAAATGGATCTATAGGGTAGAAAGCAGGTTCCAGATGGGAACTACTCTATATTGCCAAGAAAGGCATGATGCGCTGCACAAACAAACAGTGGTGCATCATAAAAGAAATCTATTAGGTGCTACTTTAGCTCCACAAAGAGCCAAAAAATGACCTGTGATGTTTGTGGGAGAAAAGTGAGAAGTTTGTCCGTGTGATAGACATTTGCTACATTATATTAGCTGCATTGTTTGGTGATAGCCTAATCATGTTTAGCTAACTTGTAATCTTTGTAACTATAGTGTTGAAAAAAGGGTTTGTAGACGAATTTTCTATGTATTTTTTGGCAAAACTCATTAACATCAATACACCTAAAAGAATGATTTGGGAAATGTTATTGTGAACACATGGAGCTGCGTGATTCCCCGTCTATCAGAAGACTGTCTCCCATAAAAATCAATGCAGCAAACGGAAGCTTAATTGGAGAAATGAACCTTCTCTGCAGTGCATGAAAATATTTTTTTGTTTAAATTTTATTCTCTTCAGAATTTTGTTACAAAGCAAAGTATTGAAGTGGAAATTGGCAAAGGTTCCACATTGTTACATGTTTAAAAAAATATTTTCCAATTGTGATGCACTTTTGAAATAAATATTTGCTGAAAAAAAACAAACATTGCTTCTTTATTTATTTTTTCCAAAGGGATTTTTATATGTTCAGAAAAGTAAAATTTTTAGTATTTAGAGAATAACTCCTATGTAGTTAGGAAAACGTTCCAAGTGTTAATAATCCAATTCCAACACCTAGTTGGTGTAATTGAGTGTTACATGATCAACTCCAGAAAGATTTATTATTTAACTATAAATACGAGTTACAATGCCAACTCTCAAAAAAGAGTGAAATTAACACTTAATGGTGTGGACCCATATAGACACGTCAAGGGTGTTAAAATCAAATCTGACAGTGTTGATTTGACCATGTTGGATTTTCTGTGTATTAATACTATTGTACATTAGTCTTTTTCCAGCTTCATAAAGGTAGGCAGCAGCTTGACAAGGGGTTATTACACAAGCTAATGAATAAATACATGCTTCCAACAAATATCTACTTAATTGATCTTTTAACACAGGCAAGAAAATGTTCTGTTTAAGCAAGATTTTTTGACAAGTTAATCATTTTAAGTTGATAATAATGATCATACAGAGCAATTCTAATAAAAAAAGCTTTGGTAAAATGTAAAAAAAAAAAATAATAAAACAAAATAAGTCCAATTAGTTATAAGTTTAATTCATATTTAAAATATGGGTGTTAACAATTTACTGCAATAGTGATGGATTTATTTATTTCACTGATTATTTCAAAGTTTTTTTAATTAGAGCCACTTAATATTATACAGCATTGGTTTTGCAGCATAGGATTCACTTTTTTCTGTTTCAAATGTCTTTCTGCTCCTGCAGATTATTTAATTCCTACTGAGCATCTACTATAGACTACAGAGGCCTGTTAATCAGCCATTTATTAAGGTAGGGAAACACCTAACAGAGGGTCCTGAGGAGCAAGTCTGAAAACCCCTGTTATAGAACACACGTACAATAGGTTTGTACATTTATTAAATATATCAGGGGTAATTTAAAAAAAGTACTGTATCAGTATTGGCAGTATCAGACTTTATTTTATTCAGTATATAAAATAAATTGGTAGTATTGAACATATTTTCGGGATATGATTAAAGGGATGTGATCTGTTAATTATCACACAAAATAATTATAATAAGGAAGTTAGAAACAGGCTGGAAACAGTTATTGCAACAGTTGTCTTAGCAGTTAGCTTTAGCCTTCATAAACCTATTTTTGAGAGTTCAGCAGTTGAGAGAAGCTAATGTTTTAGATTGTGTAATATGTGAAGCTAACTTTGTGGTTGGGTGTGCCCACCACTACTAAACTAGTGTGGAGAGCAACACATTAGATCATTAGATGACAGTCATATTTTTCTGACCTCCATTTTTAGACTAGAATTATTTATACGTTTCATATCACAAAGTTGAAGGTTACATAAAACTAAACAATGAAAATCGAATGAATCTGCAGGTTATGATGGTTGTTATTCATGCTTTTCTCACCTCAGCTGTGTTGCTGCTGTTGGTGTAGGGAGTCAGGAGGTTGTCTGTGGTCATGAGATCTGATAGATGAGGAAATGAAAATGGATTATTTTAGAACAGCTGCATCAGCAGCATGATGACAGAGAGGAGCTAAGGAGCTGCACATGCAGAAACAAACAGGTTACAAAACTGGACAGACATTATTCAGTGTTTCCTTCTCAGCATCAACTTCCTTTTTTACTCTTTCATTAGACCTAATCAGCGAACATTCAGAGTTTATTAGATGGTTGTTGGCTTTTTCTGCTATTACTGTAAGCTGTGAATGAACTGTGGGTTTCCCTACCTGTTGTCTGAGAAGCATCTGTCCTCTGTGTTTGCGTCAGTGTGCCTGATGGCGCTGACGTTGACAGGTCTGGAGCTGGAGATCAAAACAGATTATTATAATAAACATTATGAGAGAATTAGCCAGTTCAGACTAATTTAAAATGAAATGAAAATGTAAATGTTTTAAGAGCTTCAGAAAATCCAGAAAACTACTGAAAAGGACCTTTTTCAAAGGTTGTAGGAGGAGATCTGAATAACTGAAAGTCTAAAAGGACAAAAGAAAGAAATGGAGTTCTGGTCTGGACCAGATCTTCAAAACATAAAAGTGGAAAAAATGATGTTTAAAACACTTTCTTCTGGTTCTGGCTACAAAAATATTGATGGTTTTAATTAGCAGTAAACTCTAATGGTGACTCAGATTTCAGTGTTTTTAACTCGAAGCTTCAGTTATGCTGCTTTTCGAGAACTAAATAGGTCTGCCCTTTTCTAACGCTGTCAAGTTCCATTGTTCCATTTAGTGCATTTTCTGTGCAAACATCTCTTAAAAAGTTGGAGAAAAAAGATGGCATAAAGAAAAAGTCAGAAGTTAGAAAAAACTCTGTACCTGAGCAGGTAAAGAGTTGACACATGGTCAGTAAGAACCACCCAGGAGTGGAAAGTACCAAACAATCTTCATAAGACAATAAAAAAGTATGAGTGGCAAAAAATTGTCTAAATTGGTTTTTATACCTTTAATTCACTTAAACCATGCCCCAGTCTTCCAGTATCTGCAGCGAAACCCCATTAAAACAATATACTGTAAACATCAGATGAGAATACATTTTTAACACTTTATATGTTTGGGAAAGAAGAGCAGAATCAGCGCTGAGGCTCTTATAGATTTATAAATCACACACAGTCCAAGGTCCATTAGCTCTTTGGGATGCTCCAGTTTTTAAACCAACTGTAATCACTTCATGTTAGTGATTCCTTAGTTGATCAGAGAAGAAAAAACTATGTGTTACACAAATGATCTTATTTGTTAACAATGGATTTTTCTTTTCTACTTCCACCTATTGTAACATGAGCTTTATTTGCACTCAGGGGAACACTGTGTCAACTCTCCAGAACCCCACAGTTTCCATTTATTGAAGAAGCTACAAGAACTCATGTCAGCAAACACTTCACCATGAGCTGATGCTGGTGATCTTACAAGGCAAAAGTTGAAAATTATGAAATATTTAACAATGAAGGAGCAAAATGACCAGGGATAGCAAGAAGCAGAGTTAGGAAAGCAAAATCAAGTCAATGAATTTGTTTGGGAAAACTGAATCTAAAGACAAATACAAAACCTTAGTTCTCTTAACCTCTGGACTGGGAGCTAAAGTGTGTTAATCTTCAAGGGTTAGCATTCAAGGCTCATTGTTCATTCACAACTACAATGATGGAAAAAAAAAGCACTGATCCGCACAATATTTCCAGCCTATAAACAGATTTAAATCATTTTGCATTACAAAGTATAACCGACTGAATGTAACTTAAATAAAAAAGAACTACTGAAACAGTCAAAGTTGAAAATTTCAACTACTGTTGATGTGATGTGGCCATCTCATAGCAAATACCAAGATAGATTTGGTCATGTTTGATCTGGTGATTCTGACTTCTGAGTACGGACGTAACGATAGCATAGATGAGAAACACTTTATGAGCAAAATTTGCTTATGGGATTTTTTTTATAAGCAACAAGATCTCTGTTCAACCACTGAAATTTTAAATTAAAGCATAGATAACATTTCCCTAATCATCCATCCAGTGTTTAAACACACTAATTCTTGCTGGGTCTTAACAGCAAGGATTAGTCCAGTTCTGTCCAATCCAGGGTATCAGAAAAGCACACAGGGCTAACATGTAAAAATTTACTCCCAAACAAAATCTAGAAAGGCTGATTAGCATTTCTAATGTCTGACTAGAAGCTATAGTACCTGGAGAGAAACCATGCAGGCACAAGAGAACAAACTAACTCAAAAAAGGGTTAAAAAAAATAAAATAAAAAAATACCCCCAAAAAAACAAAACAAAAAAAACATGTGAAATCAAGAACCATCTTGCTGTAAAGCAACATATCAGGCAACTGCACCATCGTAACATGAATGGGATTTTTTGCTGCACGAACAGCGTGTTTTTTACATTTAAATTAATGCTATGCTAAGTTGAAAAAATGAAGTTTTGCTCATATTAGAGTTATGAATTACAGCTATTACTATAATTCCCTCATTCAAAGATGAGCAAATTATTGGCATTAAGGTTCTACACTAATCAGAAGGCTTTTAACTAAATGTTTTAAACATATACTGTAAGTTCTTAATTGACAGTTTTGAAAATAATCTAGATGAAAACTCACATTTCTCCATATTAAATAACNATAGACCTCCATTATTTGAATGTCAGCAGACAGCAAGAAGCCTCCCAGATCTCCAGATGCATTTGAGATATCAAAAAAGTACTCCAGAGTGATGTTCAGCATGGGGGTGAGTAGAAAATGAAGGCTAATCATGTTTTGGGTGTACTATTCCTTTAAATAACAAAGGACTATTAAAAAAATCAAAGTTGAAAATTTCAAATACTTTTAATGTGAGTAGTGGCCATCTTACAACAAATACAAAGTTAGATCTAGTCTTGTCCCTTTGATTTTAAAAACTAACCAAAACTTTTTGGGGTAACCCAGCTAAGATTGGATAGGGGTGGACTAATGGTTAGGGCTCACAATGGCAGCCAAATGCTCCCAAAGGGATGGATTAAATGCAGAAAGTTAATTTTGTGGCTCTTTACAAATTTAATGACAATAAAAAAAAGTTTTTTAAAAAAGCTGGAAAAAAAAATATTTACAACTAATTCTGACTTCTGAGTACAGACATAGCGATGGCATAGATGACAGACACTTTATGAGGACAATTTGCCTCTGGGTGGTTTTTCTACGCAGCAAGATCTCTGTTCAGCCTCTGACATTTAAAATCAAAGCATAAATAAAATTTCTCCAATCATCCATCCAGTGTTTAAACCCACTAATCCTTGTTGGCTCATCAAGGTCCTTTATCACGTTGTCATCAGAGGTCCACCCTGGACAGGCCTCCAGTCCATTCCACGGTAGAACAGAGACCCACAGGACTAACATGCAGAAATTTACCCTCAACAAAATCTAGAAAGACTGATTAGAAATTCTAATGTCTGACTAGAGGCTATAGTACCTGGAGAAGAATGGATTTATATAAGAACAAGTTGAAAGATTAACCAGGATAAAGACTTAATAAAAAGAGAAGTTTTGCTCATATTAGAGTTATGAATTACAGCCACTTGGCAATAATATTAAAGAAGTTGGGGATAAACCTGAATGAATTCACTGATTAAAAGGAGATAATTTGTTAATGGTTTACTCAGTTTTCTCATGAAAAGCCTTCTATCAGTCATAAACTTTTTGTACTTTTCAAAGATGAGCAAATTATAGGCATTAAGGTTGTACACTAAGCAGTAGGTTTTTAATAAAATGTAAAGGTGCTTATTTGACCGTTTCGAAAATAATCTACGGTAGATGAAAACTCACATTTTCTCCATATTAAATAACACAAAACAGGGAAAACTGAGAAGAAAAACTAGAAAATGACATTAGACTTATTCAGTTCAAGGGCATTTCTCCCATAAACCAATTGAGAAAACTGATTAAATTTACTGATTCTGGCTTTGGAAGATAAAATCTCTCAAAATATATTTTCTCACCTTTTTCAACAAACAACACAAAATGATGTTTCTGATCATTGTTCCACCCAGGTATCTCCACTCTGCATCCATAAAGTCCAGCATCTTCCTCAGTGAGGTTCAGGATTGTCAGAGAAACGTCTCCTTCATCCAGTCGTCCCAGTAGCTGATACCTGCTGGAAACTCTGGTCTCCTTTATAACTTTATATCCATCTGTAGAGATCAGCTTATTGTTGCAGCGTCCCCAATTCGGTATCTGTCCTTTATTCCAGCAAGCATGCAACGCTCCCATCTTAATGATATCATATGTACAGTTCAGAGTCACATTCTGACCTGTTTGACCAACAACTCTGATGCTTTCACATCCTGACACTGAAAAACAAAAAGAGTTTAGTTACACAGATGTCAGTTCTAGAATCTAAAATCTGAATATGAAATCTGTTATGCATCAGTTATCTGCCACTCTATAAAACCTCTTTGGCTCATTTATACATTCTTATAAAAAAAAAAAAAGGTTAATTATAGTTACACTGCTTGATGTGATTTAATTTCACTGCATGGTGAAGCAAAAGATAAATACATCAAAATCAAGCATCTCACTGATCGGTAGAGCTTCTCAACAGATAGTTATGCTCTACTTCAGCTGCTTTAGTTCTCTAAAAATGTTTAATTATTCATATCTTACAGACAGATAGCATTACTTTATTAGAAACTACATATAAGTAAACTGACTAAACCACAAACATAAAAAAGATCTGTAGAAACACTTAGAACTGTAATATACGTGTATAAGAGTATACAGTATAAGAGTATATAAACCTTATGTTAATGAGCCGATTATCATTTATTTTAACTTAAATTAGAACAGAAAATAAAAGTACCTGTGAGGAGCATGAGCAGCAGCACGACCTTCATGATGAACCAACCATCATCACCCAGCAACATGTTTTTATTCACAGCTGCTGAAACTCTGACCGTCACCACAGCTGCAAACTCACTGCATTAACAAGGCGTTCACCAGAGCTACAGCCTGAGAGGAAGCACCAAACTGAGGAAATAAAGAGGAAGCCTTCAACAGCGTCTCTGTCAGAGAGTCTGTTGCTGTTAAAACCACAGATAATGTTTCACATTCTTCACATCCTTTAATAAAACCCTGAGGACAGAATCAGGTGGTCTTCTTAGTTTCTGCATTTCTCTATAGTTAGCAGTTTTATTATCAGCTTTAATCTTTTAATGAAATGCTCAAGGTTATCATAAACACAGCTTCTAAAATTTGGTGCAATTTAAAAATATTGAGGAAAATGTATTTAATATAGACCTTTTTTTCTTTATGAGAATCACAAGCAGTTGTTGCTCATTAGATCAGGAAAAGTTTTGTTTCAGGACCAGTTTTCCTAGTTTCTTTTTTAGATAAAGTAAATTAATTGATGTATCCTTATTGCATCTGTGAAACAGCATCTTTGGAGCCTTAACTACAGAGTATACATGAAAATATCTGATAAAGCAGCTTCATTCAGAAAAGAACGCTGATGTTACAACACATCAGAGTTCATAAATTGGTGATCTGTTTGGAAGAATGTTCAGCTGCATAAATAGGTCAGAGTGCCAAAGCCTCTGTTTCTGTGGGTTCATGGGTTGATGGAATCTGTCAGGATCTTCTTTTCTGATGCTTCCTGTATCTGATCTTTCCTGCAGAAAACACCTGCTGGGTGGACTGGTGTAAAAAGACAAATATGGAGACCACAGAGAAAATATCTGTGGTTATTATTTCCTTTTCTACTGCAGGTATAGCATCAAGCAAATTCTTCAGCAAAGAAAACTGAAAGCAAACATGATGTGACTCAGAGGGGGCAACTTTTAATTGATCGATTATTCTGATGATTAACTGAGCAACTGAATGACAGTTGGTACAATTTGATCACAGTTTATTGAACTGATTAAGAAGATTATCCTATGAGTAATAGACATAATTCAGCCTCAGACCCCCCCCCCCCACCACCCCAAAAAAAAAAAAAGAAAAAAAATGTAAGCACAGTCACACGCGTGCATCT